AGCCAAATTTTGCCTATTAAACATCATAAATGGGTGGAAAATGAATTGTTTTTCCATTTTCCAAGAATAATGTAAGGTATCAAACAGGGCATTAGTTATTTGGATTTGTTTGCTAGCAACTTAGCAAGGAGGAATTGAAGACAAGACAGAGACAACCATTTTTAGATGCCTGCAACAGGGCATCAAATGTCTAACATGAATTCCAAAGCAAAATCAGATAATTGGATAAAACTCATCAAAACTAATAGTGTAAATGGCTGCACTACCAAGGCTTTGAAACATTTTTCTTCAAAATGTAAACTCATCTGATGCTTGATCTTTTATTTTCAAAATGATCATATTCATGTATCTCAAATTTTGCTAAACAATAAACTTGTCCTAGAATTATGAAGGCGCCTTCCAGTACATTCTTAGCCCCTATTTGGGCGCCATTTATTTTCATTAAATTTCATTTTTCATGATCAAAAAGTGTGGGCTAGTGGGATCTACTGACACATTCTTATCAAATTTATACTCGTCTATGCAAGATGTACATTCATTCTCAATTTTTTAATCATTTCCATTTAAAGTAAGAAGGTACACTTGCATAAACACCCCTTTATACATGGTAGAAATTTTCCAATGAGATTTGTTGAGGCTGATAAATTTTTAATTAGTAATTGAGTAGCATCAAAACGATACTTACTAAATGTTTGTGTACTGTTGCACAAAAATTGGATCGAGATACTTTCCTTTATGCTTGCAAGTTATGGCACCAAAAGTTGTTCTCGTTGGAATGTTAGTCCTCGTGAAAGATGAAGTGTGTTGTGTAGGAAAATAAATGGCTGTGAGATTTGATGTCTCAAACTCTTTATTCACTCTCGAAAAGATGGAGTAGGAATTGAAAGGATAAGGACATAGTTTTTTCTGATGAAAAGTGTGAACCGTCGAACATGTCAGTGATAATCATGGCCTATGATATCATTCCAAATAATCACAACCCTTATATTTCTGTACACCTAATTATAATTCAAAATTAACGGGCAAGATTGCGTGTGGTCAACACGTGCATTAAAATGCACAACAGGTCACTAACCTAGAAATGCCCAAACTAGCTTATAACCATGAAAAATGCTATTCATCTCCACTAGGGATGCATCACTAATCTATATGACGTTAATGTGACATTAAATGATATGTGAAATTAAATAAGTCATTTAATTTCACCTATCATTTAACCAATCATTTACATTCACATAGACTAGGGATGCATCCCCACTTGAGATGAATAGTATTTTTCTATAACCATAGTGTGTTTCCTCAATAAAGCACACATCAACACAATAAACAATGAGAGATATGCCCAAATAATGCCATCTGTAGGTTAGAAATTCAAAAAATAATAAAAAATCATATATAATATGAATCATAAAATCAGACTTCTAGAACAATTTGTTGATGCAGAATAAGAAGTCTATCCTGTGAACTTAGTCCCTATGTGAAGTCTAAAAGAGTGAAGGCAGCTAAAGCAACAAACGTTCACAAAAGATGCAAGGCTAATAATCCCCTCAATGGCGGCAAAAATCGTTACTTAAACACACGTGGATAAATCTGAAAAGCGTGACTTCTAAATAATCGAATAACATGTGAATACATAATAGAACTAGTTATCAGCCCACCACTAAACGATCGCCACCTATCATTTTCTAGAAAGACCCAAAGCTCCAAGAAATTCTATAAATACTCCCGCAGGAGAAAATAGCATGCAAATTCAAATATCACCATCCCAAATAGCCATTTCACATCTTGATCCAGTTTAAGCATCAAAACTAGTTAATTTAGGAGACGAAAACCTGGTTAGGTGAGAGAAATTTGTTGATCGTAATTTTATTGTCAACATTCCTCATGTGGAATTGCATGCTTTCTTGCTCTTCTTGTCCACTTCAACTCAATTCTTTGCCAATTCAAGTAGTATCTTTCCAAGCAATCCGAAAAGTAGCTCACACTCTATACTATTAGCAATTTCACACAACTTGACTACAAAAATGATGAGGATCAAAGAAATGATAAGGCGATCGGAAATTCTTGGAATGATAATGTTGTAAATTCACACATAATTTTGAAGCTCTTTTTGATATTTTCTTTTTATACGTGATCCATTGAAAACTCGCAAGTGTACGAGATTATGGTCAAATAATAAAGTGATGAATAGAGTGTCGAACCCACGAGAACTATGTATTCTATCAAGTTCAAATTAATAACAGCCTTAATTGAATAGCAAATAAGTTTTGAATTTTCTATACTAATATCTAAATTATCGATTAAACTAGAAAGCAATTTAACTAGTTTGATTTCAAATATGTGAAAGTATTGCTAAGATGTTGAATCCTCATTGTTAATTCATTTTTAGCACAACAAATTAAAGTGACAATTTATAATCATTTTTGTTGGTCAATGTTCTTAATTTAATTGAAAACCTTACTCGATAGTTATCAAATCTATTCCCCTCATGTGACCCTCCTATCTCTCGATGAAATATGCGGACATAATAAATACATTAAACAATCTGGAACACCTATGAAAATCATGTAAAGCATAAAGATAGATATATCTCCTGACGAACTTTACAATGTTTATTATTTTTAGCTAAAAATCTATTATCTCTCTCCATAATAATAGATTCAATAAATCATCTCAATTAGTAGCTAATTAATTGAAAAATTATTGAAAACAATAATAAACATCCAAGAAAATAAACATACTAGTCGTCAAAATAATTAATTAATATTAAAAATTTCAAAACAAAGGTTCATCTATATTTTAGCAATGTAAATATCTAGCCTAGTATAATACCGAAATTAAATACGTAAAAGTTGAACATCATCATCGAAAATTGACGAAACGTGAACAAATTTGAATTAATTCTCTGCCCATATATGTTCAGCCACCGTTTTTCTTCTTTTTGCGTGTATGTATTCTCACTTCCTTGCTGCCGAATTCTGTGTATATATATATTTCAGCAATCGCCATTTTTTTTCTTTTTGTTCCAGCCACTCCTTGTATTATTTTATTATTAAAAAAAAACCAATTTCCCACCACCGTTCTTCTCTCCATGCCTGTGTGTGTGTATATATATATAATCTAAACTTTTAATACAACCATGCTTACTTCCAAGTCCTCAATTCTTTCATGTAATGCAAGCTAGTCCTTGAGTCCACATTAATTGTGCAACCAATGTCAATTTAATCTCCATACTTTGGATTTTGCCATTTTTCGCCACTTTTTGCTTCTTTCCTTCAATTTATTTTTCATTCATAGAATTTCACCTATTAAGCATAAAATACAACGTTTTAGGATATATTTGTCAAAAAAACTATCAAATATCGCTATTTTAGACCCCCGAATAAGTATATAAAATACACTTACCAATACGAATCCTAAGATTCTTATCTTTGTTGATGAAAAGGAAGAGAAGTCAAAGAACAAACAAGTTGAAGACAACACAAGAAAGTGCTGTCAAGTTCCCACATGCAGTAACTTCAATTCCCTGTTAGTGCTCTTTTAGTGGATTTGGTATTGTTTGTTCCCCTCGCAAAAGTTATGGGCGTCTTGTAAAAACAATAGCGATGTGAATTCTGAAGTAATGTTCAAAGTTCGATCGCGTTTAAACAAATTGTTAATGAATGAGTTGACACCATTGACATTTTTAGTGGCTTACTTTGGCTTTTTTTTCAATGATATATGTATGTATAATCATAATGAATTAAATTCAAATTGAACTCTAAAACGACGGAAAAAGCAAACTTCTCCGCAAAATTTGAAGAGCATAAGCGTGTCATGTTATAATTGGTTGATTCCAATTCTCGACGATTCTAGCTTTTCTTCAAAAGGCATTGATAAATTAGAGTTATCGTCCTCGTCATTTTCCTTTTTAAGGCCAACTAACGGAATATTTGGATGGAAATCATTGAGGATTGAGGTTGAGTTTGTAAAAAATTAAAAAGATCAGACAATAATTGTAATTGATCCTGAATATAAAAGTGGAGTAGAAAGCCGTTCAAGCTCCACCCTCCAAACTCTCCTAATTGGATCGAAACTCCTGAATCCATTCCAATTTTCATCAATTTCTCTCTCAAATCTCAATAGTTTAGCGTATACGAATATAGCATATGATGGTGATGGTATATGTAAGCAGAAGGAAGTGCAGTGTAGTTTAGTTTAGAGGGATCATCAAGAAATGGAAGAATCAATGAAAGAGAAGAAGCAGGTTGAATCGGACTGTATGAGAGAATGCATGAGGAAGCTGTCGCTTTGGTACACCAAAACCTTCAATCCACTCCTCACCCACGATGATCTCAACCCCATTATGGCCACCCTTGGCTTCGTCCCTTCCCTCGTCTCCGTTCCCGTCCACACCACTGAGATTGATCATCAATTTGAATTACACTCCACACAACCCACCTTTACCGCTCCCTGGATTGAGTACTTGCATTGTTCCAGTGGCCTGACTTCCGATTTTCAGCCGCCTAGGCCACGTCTCCCCTATTCCAGGATTGATGGTCTCCACATCTACACCTACAGGGCCTTTCTCGATGCCCTCAACTTCTATCTCCGCATGCCCAATCTCTCTGATCTCTTTCACGTTCGGTATGCTTCATATTTTTACAGTGTCAATTAACTCATTAATTAGTATCATGTGTTGTTGTAATTCCGTCTGCTGCTTCTTTCTTTTCTGAATATTGTTGCGTTCTATATTTTAATTTAGTGTAATGTCCATCCTGTGTTTACTATTTAATCTAGTTTAATTTCTCTCTTTGTTATGTAGAATAATTATCTTGAATGAGTGTTTTTGCGGAAGCAGGAGTAATATAATCATTCCAACATAAATGTTATGGCTGAATGAACGAAAAAAAAACTCCAGGTTTTGCACATGAATAGATTTACTTGGATGCACGGAACCTTAACACCCTTGGACTATATGGATTTCTACGTGGGCGACTTTCCAAGAAACAAAACTATGTGAAAATTATCCCAATTTCCCCTCAGTTTTCTTTTTTATATACTCTGTTTCTCTAGTCGACAATATTCTCAGTTCGTCAAATAATTTGGGTAATCATTATGTACATGTAGTATAACCGTTGCATAAAATACTTACGATATTTGATATATTAAAATTTAACAAATAAACGCCATTCATTTCATTTTATTTATTGTATATATACAACATCAGATGATCCCACAAGGCTGGTTTGGGTGAGGCTACATGGCCCATGCAATTCTTCATTTTGTTGAATTGTTTGTAGAATTACAGTCTTTTAATTGCATCACTTATACCCCACAGAGTGGATATGTTATTTTTAGCTGGCATATCTTCCTCAGTTTTTTTTCCAAGTCTTCTCTGCAAAGTCATGGTAGAAATTTTCCATTGAGATTAGTTAAGGCTGATAAATTTTTAATGTGATTGAGTAGCATCAAAGTGATACTTACTGTATGTTTGTGTACATGAGTTGCACCGAAACTGGATCGAGAGATTTTCCTTTATGCTTGCAAGTTATGGCACCAAAAGTTGTTCTTATTTGGAATGTCGAGTTATACAAGGTCCCATGAAAGTTGTGTTGGAAGAGGAAAAGAAATGGCTGTGAGATTTGATGTCTCAAAACTTTTTTTTCACTCTGGGAAAGATGGAGTAGGAATGGAAAAAACCAAACTGAAACTCTGAAATACGACTGGCTAAGTCCTAGGTTTTGTTCATATTGTGTTTGGTGGCAATACATCATATGCATGTACGAGCATCTGAATTTATATAAAGTATAAGGTCGATGAAGTCATTGTCGTTCCTGGATTGTCTTTTCCTCTTTTGATCAGTCGCTTAAGTTTCTTTTTTCCTCTTTAAACTTTGCTGGCTAATGATTTACTGCTAACTTTAATAGATTGTCTGTGGATTTTATAAATATATCATGTTGGAAATGATACTCATGTTGTACTTGACTGAGCGTTTGTAATTAAGAAATGGGGATTCATTTTTTTTATTTTATTTTTTTTATCTTTCATCCAGAGACCAAGTATCGTCAACAATTACCTCCAATCATACCGTTTGCTCTGTGCTTCTTTTTTACTAAACTTCAGTGGTTTCTTTTAGTCTGACTTCAGAAACTCTACATAGTTAAGGTAGAAAATATGCCTTCGTAAATCTTTATCCGTAATCAAGTACTACCAAATTTTCAGATCTACTTTCTGCACTTTTAGTTGCAGACTTTGATGCGTGTTTATTGAGTACTTTGCGAATTTTGACATTTTATATCCACTTCTATTTCAGGGGACTGCCGCTCCATCAAGTTCACGATCGAGGCAAGAAGTGGTGGTGTATGGGAGAAGACGATAGTATCTTTGTCTATGGAGAAGGGACATTGGATCAAGCTGCATATGATTCCTATTGTGTCGAGAAGAATGGAATAAACTCCAGCAACAGTAACAAGGTTTGCAATTCTATCACAATCCGAAACAAAGGAAAGTCTACTCATAGCAGCCGCATGGTTCCACTGAAAGATATCATAGTGTTATCCTTATAATTGGAAACTATAAGACAAGACTTGATTCGTAAAATGGATCATAGTCGATATGGCTCCATTCATTTTACAACATTGAACTTGTTCATTTTGTGTTTCAAAGAAATGTATATTAGCTTTAGACACATCAAAACTTGTGACTTCATTCGTTAAATCATTTGCCGTTGGCTTTTCCTTGATGTTAGTCATTTTTTAAGAACTCTTGTTGTGAGACTCAGTTTGCCCATGCTAGCATGAGTACCGGGCTCCTACCAACCTTTGTAGCAACTTTAGAATTCGTTAAAGCATTTGTCATTGGCTTTTCACTATTGTTGATCATTTTTTTAAGAATCTGTAACCTTAGGCAAACAAGCCGTAATTCCATCCTTTCCTTCTTCTTCTTTTTTGTGCAAAAATGACCTACCTTTATTTATTATTTACGGGATATTTTTTGGAGAGTTTGGAACTTTTTTCTAAAAAAATTGTCTGCTTCTTGTTTTATAAATTTGTAACTCAATAATATTTACTTGGCATTAGGTTCGGATTTCTAATAATTTAAGGGCATTCCGCCTCTTATCTTTAGACTCAGTTTTCCCGAGCTAGCGAGTGGTTGGCTCCTACCAACCTTTGTAGCAATTTTAGAACAATTTTGGACAAACAAGATTAGAAACAGGAAGAATTATTTTTAACATGGCTTTATTAAATATTAATTTACTTTTTTATACCAGAATTGAACAAATTTGTTCTCTCGTTCAAAACCACTTATGGTACTGCAATAGGCTACCATCCTCGTATGCCATACATAACCAAACTTTAAAGCTTTGTGTAGTGCAGAGTTCATTTGCTTTCAGTCAAATTTGGTCCAAAAAGCATTATACTTAAAATTCTCTCATGTAACATAAAACAGTACTTGTTCTAGTAATTCTCATATAACATGGGAAAATGATGTCTAGAATTTCATTGAAATTTCAATCCTTTGATGAAATAGAAATATATGTGAATAAACAAGGGTACAAAAGAATAACCAATAAACAAAGAGAGACAAATCCAATCTCTTGCAATTTTAGTTTTACCCTCTTAACAATAATTTATCAAGAACGAAAATGTGTAAAATGAGAACAATTCTGTCTCCCTGGCTTGGTTAGAAGGTTCACTGTTTTGACAATATATGCACCAGTCTGCTCCAGTCATCTACCACGGCTTATTGGAGATAGGAACCTCAAGACGAAGCCTTAGACACGTCCTTGTTGGACCTGTTGTACTTCATATGGCTCTTGACGAGTTGGCCAGCAGCAAGTGCTGACATGAGAGAGAGCTCTCCAGCAAGAACGGCCCCAGCTACAATGCTAGCTAACTGCCTTGAGTTTGATCCTGGAGCCTCCTTACTGGCTCCCTTCACTCCAAGCAGGTTCAGGCAAGCTGACTGAGAGGCCAGTTGTGTCCCACCTCCGACTGTACCGACCTGAAAGAACCCAACAACAGCAAAATCAGCCATGAATCTCCTTTTTTTTTTTTTTTTT